ATTTAAAACTATATTACCTACATTTATACAATTATAATTTATAAATTTAAATAGTGCAGCATTATAATGTTATTAATAAGTTATAAGTATATAACAATATAATATAATATTATATATTGTATTACTTTTATGTATAAGATTGTTGATTTTTAATCACTCAAGATTCTAGTATTTCTGACATAGTTTATAAATTATAATACAATGAATTAATACCAACATACAATATTCTATACTTGTACAGTTACTAGCTTAATTTATAACCAATAACATATAATATTTGTAGACCTTGGTTGATAACTGATAAGTTATTCATAATCAATGTTTTTTATGCGTGATCAATATATTGTTTTGAATCATCTTTAACGGAATACATTTAAAAGAAAACAAACAATACATCATAATTTATTCAAATATTTTATGTAGAGTGAAATTTTCTATTATATAATATTTCAATTGAAAATTTCACATTCCAACCCTTAGATGTAATAAATAAAATTTAAGATTAGCACAGAATCAAAATACATATATTTAAAAATAAACAGTCCATTTATTTCATATCTAAACATAAAAGTATATTTTAAGACTGAAACAACTAAAATTAAAAAAAAAGCAGGAAGATAAAAAAATATTTTTAAATTAAAAAAATGAGGTACGGACCCAATTAAAAAATCAAAACCCATGCTATTCAATAAAATACATAAGATAAAATATGTACAAAACATTAAATAGAAATAAAATGCATTTTTCGCACTTTGATCCAATCAGTGCACAAAATGAAAAATACTAGAAAAAAAACTTAAATTATACAAGTACAGACAAAAGGAAGTTAACACGGAAAAGTAAGCCAGTAAAGAGAAAAAAAATGGCAAGTCTTTTGATTTACTGATTAAAAGGTATGGTCATTGAGCAAAATAAAAATAATTTTCAAAATGTATGGTCAATTACAAGACTTTGAGATCCAAAGTTGGATATAAACAGTGGGAGATCTTAAAATTAATTAGTTGGTAAAAAAATATATACTGGTTATATTTTGGTAACTGTTCTACACAAATGGTTAACCACACTGGAACTCAAATTGTAACATCTAATTAGGAATATTATAATTTTCTTTGAGACTTGCAATACTGTTAAGTATAATAACTTATACATTGCCTCAGACTCATACAAACTAAGTATCTGCATGCTTTAAAATAAACTTCTGAAAAAAACAAAATGAGATTTATTAAATGGATTATCTATTTAAGAGGCTAGAGAATAAAATATTTCAAAACTATAGTTTACTCTAAGGTATTGGTAATGATGTTTAAAACTTTTATACTTCATATATTTTCTTTTAATTGATCATATAGCAGACCAATCTGTTAAATTTCTTAGTATTTAAAAGCAGTTATATTAATATAAATTATTATTGTGTGTTTTTGCAMTGTAGGCTTTTTCAATAATATATTTTTAAATATCAATATTATTTTGYCTTATGCAATATTGAATTGCTATAGAAAAAAAGTATCAATAGCTCTATGAGTATAATTGATTAAATAATGACAATAAGTAATAAACAAATTGTTTTTTTAAATATATCATACAATAATATTATAATTCTTAGGCAATTGCTTGGACTATAGATTAAACATTACAGTTAATCGTTGATGTATTTTGATTTTTGATATATTATAATCATTGGTATCTAAATTTTAGAAAAAAAACATCATGATATCAATTGAATCAAAATATTGATAGCTGAAGAAACCTAATTTATTAGGTAAATTTAATTGTTTTTTATAATAAAATGGATACATCCTAGGTATTATTTATAACAATATCATTGAGATTTAAAAGAATAAGTTATATTTTAAACTTTTATAGATCATTATCATCCTGACCCTATAGTTAGTAGAATAATTTATTTTAATCGGATAGACTATAACAATGTAAATAAAGGTGATTAATATACAATTTTATTTTATTAAGTATTTAGATACAGTCATAATTTGTCTATAGTTCCCAAGGATGCATGTTATATACAATCTTTYATCAGTGGTGTTTTTTAACTTTATTTTGATAAATTTTAATTTTGTAACATTACGTGTCTATATGAAACTAGCACAAAATCCTTAATAGCTTTATTGCAAGATTCTAGAATCATAGAGTATATTCTAAATATAACATTTCTTAATGATTTCTAGATTAAAAAAAAAAGGCTGTTATTGAATAAAATAATAATTCTGATAGCTTAAATATCAAAAATTGAAAAAGTAATAAATGATTTGTATAGAAAATAGCCAATATAATTTAAATATAGCACCATTTATGCATTATGCAAAACTACAATATTTAAAAAAATATATTAATCAAAATTTTATTAAGGTATTGTAATTGATTCTAGATTTTTCTATAAGAATAAGATAATACACAGAAACTTGAAATAAAATATTAAGATGATAATACATATTTAAGTATTGATAGTAATTATACCATGCCCATTGCCCATATAAATGCACCAATAATCTGTTTTTTATAATTGCAGTTTTTTTTTAGTTTTTCACATTAATTACTTACATTAATAGTCTCTAAGGAAGATAAAATCAAATTTATGTTTCATTAAAGTATGGATGTTTCAAAGCCTCACGAGCTGACACTCGTTCAGTACTGTCAAACATCAACATTTTCTGAAATAAAATAAAAAAAATAGAATTATTTTTAAAATGTTCAAACTAGTCAGTARCATATTTTATTATAAAACCAATAATAAAAACAAAAGACAATGGACCGTTAAAAGCCATTATTACCAAAATTGATTTTTTTTTTAAGTAAGTTATGAGCATTTCAAAATATTTAATTATCTGGTATGTCTTKTATGTGTGTAAGACAAAGACAACACACGTGGGTGTGAGGTCCTCTTAATATAATTTTATCAGTAATACAATATTACAAAAAATTAATAATAACAGACTACACTGAATCAAAAAACCTATTATTTAATTAATTAATATGAAAAAAATTATTTATTGTCTATTAATAAAACTTATCTTACCATTAAC